CGGCGGGAGGGTTGGACTAGATGACCCACAGAGGTCCCTTCCAACCCCGACCATTCTGTGATTCTGTGATTACTGATTGTATATACATTCTATGTTCAATCAGTTTGGATAATTTCCCTAGGTATCTACATTTTTCTTAAGCGTCTATCTCTCCTGTCAGTGCCTCCTTCTCAGTTTTAAATGACTAATTTTTAATTAGTCATATCTCATCTCACTAGTTAGTACTTGTGCTTTTAAATTAATAGTGTATGAACATCTGCCCCTAGGGCTCTCACCAGGAATTTAAGAGATTATCTGCAGAAAAACGTTACCACCTCCATCGTGTAGTGAGAAACAGGTTAGAAGAGGCAAGAAGTTTGAAAAGTAAAAAGCCGTGTCATGTTTAATAGTACAAGAAAGGGAAAGATGTGATAATTAAAAACGTATTCTTTTTGCTTTAGAAATGGTTTATCTACTTGGGCACAATGGTTGATGCTGGTGGGCACAGAGGTGAGACTGACTGGCCTTGCAGTTCTCTAAGTGTTCCTTTTTTCGCTTTTTAAAAATGGGGGTTATGTTTCCCTTTTTCCAGTCAGTAGGGACTGCACTGGACTGCCACAGTTTCTCAAATATCATGGGTAGTGGTTTAGCAACTTCATCTGACAGTTCGTTCAGGACCTGTGGATGTACCTCGTCAGGTCCCATGGGCTTTTGCACCTTCGAATTAATTAGATGGTCTCAGACCTGATCTTCCCCTATAGTGGGTGGTTCTTCATTCTTCCAGTCCCTGCCTTTGCTGTCTGCAACTTGGGCGTTGTGGCTTGAGCACTTGCCCCTGAAGACTGAAGTAAGAAAGTTGTTGAGTACTTCAGCCTTCTCCATGTCCCAGATAACCAGGTCTCCTGTTTCCTTCCAGAGAGGGCCCACGTTTTCCCTAGTCCTGCTTATCTCCTTACTTGTATTGTCACTGTATCCTTGGCCTTTCCGGACCCAGAAATAAATGATGTTACCCCAAAATATGTATAATTTACATTTCGTGCGCAATGATATCTTATTTATGAGAAAAGGACAGCTGAAGGGCAGCACCATTTCACACAGTTCTTCACTTCATTGAAGATTAAGGCTGGCCCTGAAGAGTTCTAGAAATTGCCTGTCATTTGAGGCATGTCCTACTCCACCAGTAAGCTTTGTTTGGGGATGCTTTCATTGCCTGATAGAGCTTAACTAGGGTGTGTAGTTGCTTAGATTCCCCTATTTTCTGAGAAAGAGTTTAGTATGTACCTGCAGCTCAGTGTAAAAGGGCAAAATTTGAACCCTTTGGTCAATATATTTATCAGTTCAGGGACATAGTTATGCTAAAATACCTATGCATCTTCATTTCTGGAGGCAATTTGGGGCATCCCATTTCCATGTTCCTTTATATGTTGCATTTCTGTTGAACTCTTCAGTTCATTATAGCTGTATCATAGGTCTGGAATATTAGAAAAGAAGAATCCAGAGATCTCCCTGCCCCCTGCCGCACACACATAGGTGGTGGCTGATCTGGAAGGGGTAAAAGTAATCATTTCAAGTTTAATTCTGTAAAATAATAATTACATATTTTTCACTCCTCCCCCATTTTGCTTCTAAATAGTGTGGTTAGTTTATATCTCCACCCTCTTTTTATTTGAATAGTAAAAAGAATCTTGTATGGAAAACCCAAACGGTTTTTTGTAAGGTAAGTTTGCTTTGGTGCTGGGTTATTTATAGTTTGACCCAAACCTCATCAAAATAATGAAATAATTTCATGAGTTGCATTGTATCAGGTTTATTAAGTTAAAAATTTTAGGCTGATGAATCTTTTCCTAAACCGACGATTAAAGAGGTTCCTGTATGCCAGTATGCCGTTTTGACTTACTAGTGATTTCCTTTTTTCTTTCTTCTTTCTCCCACTACCAGGAGGCATTTTTGAGTGTGTGGAATCTGGTCCAATGGGAGCAGAAGAACTAGCCTTCAGATTTGCTGTGAACACAATCAACAGAAACAGAACTCTTCTGCCAAACACCACATTAACATACGACACCCAAAAGATAAATCTCTATGACAGTTTTGAAGCATCAAAAAAAGGTAACTTTTTGCATATTTAATTTTTTTCATGAGCAATGAAGACTCACTTGGTTTACCTGCCTGAAAAAATGTCGTTCAAATAAAGCCATATGCAATGAGACTGAACAAGTTTGTGGTTGATCAAAGCACTGCTTTAAAGACCACCTCTCGAAGTCTGTAATGGTAACTGCTTGCAAATTACATAAATGATTTGTTTAAACAAAAATTAAAAGTTAAAAATGATTCTGAACATTTTCCCTAAATTTTCAAATTTTTGATCCTCACAAGAAGTTTTTGGATGGTTTTACATTATGGTCTGTGAAAACAGATGCACTGCATCATCGCCATATACTAGAAAGTACAACCTCCAACAAGTTCAGTATACGTTTATAGGAGAAAACAGAAAGCCTGGTGTCAGAACTCAGTAGGACTGAATTTTACATACTATTACATGTTCTTTAAAAACATTTTTTATAAATTGAAAAGCCAATTTCATATGGATGTTATCCTTAACAGAAAAATAAGAAAGGTGAAAGAGCTATAGGTTAACCTGTATTTCTAATGACAGGTTTCTAGCCTAAATCTGCCACGTGATCTGGTCCCGGTGTGTCACTCCTAAGTGTTGAAGACTGCAAGCTTAATGCATCAGGGGATTTTTGGTGTTACAGGGGTCTAAGATGAATAAAAACATTTGATGCCACATTAGAAATGCTACAGAGGGAAAAGCTGCTGTATCAGGATTGACATACATGAAGTACATCTTAAAAATGGTCTATAATACTGATAAAAAAATCAGTTTTGAAATTATGATACATTTTTGTCTTTTGTTGTATTATATAGAGTTAATCTTGCTAACATGTTTTATCTGTTTAATCGCTAAATTCTAAAATTCTAATATAGGCTGTTGTTAGGTATGAAAATAGTATTTATATTTGTACAGAAATACAGTTTGGTCATTGTAAGATGCTTTGATTTATGAAAAATACTATGATCTAAGTATTTATGGCTAGCAAGATGGTTTTGTTGCAGGGAGAGTGTATGGAAGAAGAAAGAGGCAAACAACACCTTTAACAAAAAATTTTTGAGTTGTTATTCTGGTGTTTTGGATGACGGATTAAAGCAGGTTCTGAAAGCGAGTGCTCTTTCCTTTCCACCTTGGCCAACAGTGAATAAATGGGCTGATTGCTAATTTTGGCCCCTTCTTTCTGCTTTCCTCCTCATCTTCCAAATTCAACTATTTCCTGACTCCAGCACACGCTGTTCTGTGAAATTTAATGGGACAATTTCTCTCCATTCCTGAAGGAGGATGTAGAGAGCAGAGAAATTTGTTCTGCCACCTTTAATTCTTTAAGCCTTTCCTGAGACAATACAACTACTTTTAGTCCTTACTTGGAGTTTTCTTGAAGGTGTAAGCTAGCCCTAATATTATGTTGTCAACTTTTGGTTATAATAGCTGGTTAGAATGGCAACATGCCATGGATTTGGGTATGTTGACTAGACTGCATAGATTCATTGTTCCCACTTGCACCTTGCATGAGAATGCAACTTTTTATTTGTAACTAGTCAGGCTATATCAAAATCTGTGTAATCTTCCATTACTAATAGCTTTTTACTTCATCATTTCGCAACACAGCCAACTACGTTTGTGCTGACAGGTGCTTTAGTTCAGAATCAAAGGCTAAAGGTTAACATAAAATGGTTCATTTTGTAGTGATGGCTCCAAAACAGAGTTTTAACAATGAGGTTTAAGCATTTGACTCATTTTGTGGTTCGTGATTGCAACCATTAGTAAGCAGACAAGTGCAGCATCAAAAATAGCCTGTTTAGACCTCTTAGTAACACATGCTTTTGAAGTTGAACATAGGTGAAATATTAACAGATTTTTAAAGGTACTATATGAAAGAAGGCAAGATGGTATTTCCAAGACAATGTTTCAGTGAAGAATAGTGTAAATGCAAACAAAATATCCCTCAATGCACTAGAAAAATTGGTATGCGTCTGATAGAGCCAGTACCGTATTAAATCACGTGTGAAAGCATTGCATTATTCAAACCTCAGAAACAGGAAAAAAAAGGACCCATTGAAAAGCCAGCTGGTAGCTATTGCTGCTGTTAGTGATCCCATTTACTGATATTTGCATAAAGCTTGTTGATTACTTTTAGGAAGGGCAATATTAGCATAAGTGTTTTTTTATCATGCCATTGATTTAGGCCCTGATCCGAAGCTCAGAAATGCAATGGAGAACTTGTGTGTGTGAGAAGTTCATTTAAATCACTGATGCTCTGCAGTAATAAAAAGGTGTGCCAGCATGGTTTCTGGAACGCACTTGAAAAGTCTTAGCAATATTTTCATCATGTTGAAAAGGATGTGCACAATAAAACCATTAAATTTGACTTGCTCAGAAAAATAATGCAGCAAGATGTTTCTACTGCTTGTTTCCTCAGCTGTCAGGAACATTGATGGTGAACCAACAATATTAATTAATCAAACCTCATACAAATACTCGCATCTAGAAACAGACCTATTAGATTAGGGAGATACTTTTAATTACTTCTCTTTACCAAATAGGATGCTTTCTTAGAAGACAAGATCTGTTGCTTTTCAGAACTGCTTACTCATAAAGGTTATGTCTGTGGGTAGTGATCTAAACATGAACAGACCATGGGCTGAAACAATGGTCTGCAGTATTGACTAGTTTTCCTGATGCTTTTTTGGCATGTCCCAACTAAAGTTCTACAAGATAATATTGGATCCTACTGTGGAAAATAATACGGGCCAGAGATTGCAAATGCACAGTATAGGTAGGGCCAGCTTATATCAGAAAGAGGAGAGCCAAGCCACTTGAATGCAGCTGAATCGTGTCATTGACTCTCAGGGACAGTTTTATCCGTTAAGTGTAGCAAAACTGTGTATTTCCAGTGTTTAAGAAGGGACACTTATTTATTTATTTTTTTTTTTTCACTAGAAGATAGCAATTTAATTTTCTTTTAGGGAAAATGTTGACCTTTAAATTTTGTTATTTAACATGCCTACTTTGCAGATACAGAAATTCAAACATAAATTTCAATGAAATTAATCATTAGCCTGATACTTAATTAGAATCTACTTAATATGTACAATTTATGAGTAATTAGGATCTCAGTAGAAATAGCACTGATTGATTGAGGAAGAAGTTAACGCTTAAACAGCCTAGGTTAGAGTACTGTCCTATATGGCTCTTTTCCAAATGTAAGATGCAGCTGAGCATAAATCTCTTCTCTTGTTAGTGCTTTTTAAAATATACACAATTTCTGGCCTTTGTGACTTCCACTGACATAGAAGTGTTTATTAAATGTAGCTGAGAGCTATTTTAATGTTAAGTGTTGCTATTCATCAGCTCATAGTGAAAGCTTAAAAATGTATTCTGAAGTTGAAATCTGTGTAAGTGAAAGCGTAACACAAGAAGGGAGCTCTGTCAACAATAAAGTTATATTTCATGGAGTACCTTTTGTTTAATATGAATTGTGCAATACCTTCTGGCACACTGCCTTCTTTCCTCTCATTATTGACAGACTTCTGTCTCCTCTTCAGCCTGCGATCAGCTGTCCCTTGGGGTGGCTGCCATCTTCGGACCTTCCCATAGCTCCTCAGCTAATGCTGTGCAATCCATCTGCAACGCTTTGGGTGTTCCACATATCCAGACCCGCTGGAAACATCAGGTGTCAGACAACAAGGACTCCTTCTATGTCAGCCTCTATCCTGATTTCTCTTCACTCAGCCGTGCCATCCTTGACCTTGTGCAGTTCTTCAAGTGGAAAACAGTTACTGTTGTTTATGATGACAGCACTGGTAAGGCTAAAGCATTAGACCATGTGCAGATATATTCACATGTACAAAGAAAGGGAGGAGGGGTGTCACTACTCATATTTCTTAGTTTAAGAAAGCTTAATTAAATTACAAGAATTTATACTGGCAAGGTAGTGTATAACAAATAATATGGATTTATTAGCATAAGTATTTTCATAAGTATGCTTCTGTTGCTGCATTCTGTGTGGTTGAGCTCACAGTTGTCATATCAGTCACACTCTATCTGTATTTTGTGCAGTGTCTTAGCAGTTGCTGACAGCTATGTCTTTTGATTTTATTTAAAACATAAATTTTGAGGAAAAGCATGGTAACTTGAAAGACGTACTAGTATGCCCAGTGGCATTAGTTAAGTTAGAAAACGGATGCCATATTTGTTTGGAATTTCCACACCTGTTTTTTCAGAGAGAATTGCAGAAGGGCCCCTGGTTTTAGCTTGTAGGTATTGAGACCAAAGAAAGTCTTGAGGCTTGTTTTGCTCATGAGTTACACAAGTTAAAAATGAACTCCTGACTTTTCCAGCAGACATATACCTGTATGCTACCTTTCCCTTACCTCACCCTAAAATTTATTTTGCTCTTCTCTTTTTGCCTTGACAACGACATCTTTGAAAAATTCTTTAAAAATTTAAGTTTGATTTGAGGTCTATCTAGTGGTGGTCAGAACTAAGACCTTGGTAAGAGGAAAATCTGACTGTAATGGAAGATACCAGGAAGGTACTTAGTCAAATGGGAGATACTTTTTTTTCTTCTTGCAAATGTTGCAGTTCTTCCATGCTGGTTGAACTGTTGTTGGCAAGAAAAGAGCATGATGAGCCTCATACCCTTCCCATGGTTCATTGAACTGGAATATTATTGATACCCTTGTTACCTAATGCTACTATCTATCTACATCCGAAATAAAAAAACAAGATCAAGAAATAATGTGTTACACGTGAAGACTAACTGTAGTGAAGACTAACTCTGCTAGATAAACAGCAATTAGAGTAGGACAGAATGACTACTTACTATTTAAGTTCAGATAAGATGTGTGCATAGCTATCAAAAAGTGAGAAGGGAACAGAGATAGCAGTGCATAAAATTATTTATAACTGATCTTTTTCTTCATGCCTTTTAAAAAAGCGCTAGGCAGTGAAGTTTAGACGTGCTTCCCTAAAAGTTTGTTGGCTGATTTCACCAAAAGCCTCAGGTAATCAAACTTCTGATTTCAAGTTTAGCTTTACAGACTCAAGGCAAGAAATATATAGCTTGTTTACTAGTGTTTTTTGATCCTTTTTGAATTATTTTTCTGAAATAGAACAGGAAGTGAAAAAAGCCTCAAATTTTAATCAAATGATGATTGAAAAAGTAATTTGTAGTTCAGTGAAGCAGTTATAGACTTAGGTTTACATAAACTGGAAATATTTCACTTTGATTTAAATAATTTGGAGACTAATTATTTTTACAATAGACAGGTTACCTTTTAAAACAGGCCTTTCAGTTAGAAAAGTCGTATGTTTTAACACTGTAAAACAGTGTTGCTCAATATTTTCAAGTAATTTTCTCCCCCTCAAAAAAAAAAAATTACCCAAAAGAAATATTTCATATTTAATAGGATCTCTAAACTCCATGTTTTCTGAAAGAGATATGTTGTTAAGTCATGCTAGCCCTGATCTTTTCATAAAGTACGTTTTGAAGTCAGGATGCTGATAAATTATAATCCCAGCTACATCTTTTTTCTTGAAATCTGTTGCTGTCTGAAGAGACAGAAAAAGAATCAGTGTTAAAAAGGTAATCCTCTCTCTTTTTTGTGGCATTTGCTGTAAGTAAATTTGAATTTTACTTTTTTGAGACTCTGTTAGTAGCACCTCCTATGGAGAATTCAGATTTCAAAAGCAGGACACACTGCTGGGAAATTCACAGCATCGGTTGCCGTTGAAGTACACGTGGGAACCACTCTTAGCTCTGAGAAAATGTCAATCTCAACGTAGAGCTTAAATATTGTTAGAGCTCAACTGCAAACGTGTTTTTTGAGGCAAGGGGAAAGCAGAGAGGAACCTTTTGAAAGGAAGGAGTTTAGCTGAGGAAGAGGTTATCTACTGCCATAGGACAGGATGGCTGTTGGTTCAGTTGTGAACCTACAACTAAAGCTGAATAAGATAGTTTCAGCTAGTATTTATAAACTGTGTTGTAAGACTCCTTGTGTCATTTAAGACTTAATTTCAAATCCATTGAAATGAAGGCAATGAAGACAAAACCTTTATTGTCATTTGTATTGGTTTCTTCCATTTCGCCAGTGATTCCGTGATATAAAATGGCTATCATTCTTGCTTCCCCCTCCTTTGTTTCTCTTTTAATCACTCACATTTACTCTTCTTTATTGAAAAGTTGCTTAGGATGAAACGCATGCCTTATTTTATGGTAATTTTAGTGGTACAGATATCCTTTATCTGAATGGACAATTCCCAAAAGTACACCCTGGTCAAGACAATCATATGTTGGTATAGCAGTTACGGTGATATTTTTTTTAATTGCTAAAATTAATATTTTTTGGGGAACAAATATACTTTATGTGTTTCTATTATTACTTTATAAACATGGATACAAGGGGAGATGATACTTTTATTACAGACTGGCAGAAAAATTTGAAAACATGCACAAACTATGGTTTCTTCTTGAGACAACTTATGGCGAGTTGCACGTATGTCAGATAACTGGAACGTTGTTGGTCCATTCTAAAGGGAAACCATGAAGGTTTTTTTTTTTAAAAAAATGTTCTTATATCTTCACAAAATCATAGAATGATTTGGGTTGGAAGAAATCTTAAAGATCATCCAGCTCCAATCGCCCTGCCATGGGCAGGGACACCTTCCACTAGACCAGGTTGCCCGGCCCTGCAAAGCTTGCCTTGAACCCTTCGGGGGGGGGGGCATCCACAGCTTCTCTGGGCAGCCTGTGCCTCACCGCCCTTATAGTAAAGCATTTCTTTGTTATATCTAATCTGAATCTACCCTCTTTGAGTTTAAAGCCATTAACTCTTGTCCCATCACTGCATGCCCTTGTAAAAACTCCCTCTCTGGCTTTCTTGTAGGCCCCCTTCAGGTACTGGAAGGCTCCTGTAAGGTCTCCTCACACCCTTCTCTTCTCCAGGTTAAACAACACCAATTCTCTTAGCTTTTCCTTATAGGAGAGGTGTTCCATCCCTCTGATCATTTTTGTGGCCCTCCTCTGGCCCCGCTCCAACAGGTCCATGGCATTCTTGTGCTGACGGCTGCAGAGCTGGAGGCAGTACTCTGGGTGGTGTCTCAGCAGAATAGAGGGGAAGAATCACCTTCCTTGGTCTGCTGGCCGTGCTTCTTTTGATGCAGCCCAGGATAGGGTAGGCTTTCTGGGCTGCAAGTCCCCACTACTGGGTCATGCTGAGCTTGTCATCAACCGACACCCCCAAGTCCTTCTCCTCAGGGCTGTTCTCAGTCCATGCTGCACCCTGCCTGTATTTGTGCTTGGGATTGCCCTGACCAATGTGCATGACCTTGCACTTGGTATTGTTGACCTTCTTGAGATTTTTATGGGCTCACCTCTCCAGCCCATCAAGGTCCGTTTGGATGACATCGCTTCTTCTACAGAGTGTCAACCACACCACGCAGCTTGGTGTCGTTGGTAAACTTGCTGAGAGCGCACTCAATCCTACTGCCCATGTCACTGACAAAATGTTAAACAGCGCCAGTCCCAATACTGACCCCTGAGGAATGCCACTCATCACTGGTCTCCACTAGGACATGGAGCTATTGACTACAACTCTCTGAATGTGACCATCCAGCCAATTCTTTATCTACCGAGTGGCCCATCCATCGAACCCATGTCTCTCCAATTTAGATCCAAGGATGTCATGCAGGATAGTGTCAAATGCTTTACACAAGTCCAGGGAGATGACATCAGTTGCTGTTCCCTTGTCCACCAAAGCAGTAACCCCACTGTAGAAGGCCGCCAAATTTGTGAGGCATGATTTGCCTTTAGTGAAGCCATGTTGGCTGTCACCAATCATGTCCTTATTTTCCATGTGTCTTAGCAGAGTTTCCAGGAGGATCTGCTCCATGATCTTGCCAGGCACACAGGTGAGACTGACTGGCCTTGCAGTTCTCCAAGTCTTCCTTTTTTCTCTTTTCAAAAATGGGGGTTATGTTTCCCTTTTTCCAGTCAGTAGGAACTGCACTGGACTGCCACGATTTCTCAAATATCATGGATATGGTTTAGCAACTTCATCTGACAGTTTGCTTGGGACCCGTGGATGCACCTCGTCAGGTCCCATGGGCTTTTGCACCTTCAGATTACTTAGATGGTCTCAGTCCTGATCTTCTCCTACAGTGGGTGGTTCTTCATTCTTCCAGTCCCTGCCTTTGCTGTCTGCAACTTGGGCGTTGTGGCTTGAGCACTTGCCCCTGAAGACTGAAGTAAAAAAGTTGTTGAGTACTTCAGCCTTCTTCATGTCCCAGATAACCAGGTCTCCTGTTTCCTTCCAGAGAGGGCCCACGTTTTCCCTAGTCCTGCTTATCTCCTTACTTGTATTGTCACTGTATCCTTGGCCTTTCCGGACCCAGAAATAAATGATGTTACCCCAAAATATGTATAATTTACATTTCGTGCGCAATGATATCTTATTTATGAGAAAAGGACAGCTGAAGGGCAGCACCATTTCACACAGTTCTTCACTTCATTGAAGATTAAGGCTGGCCCTGAAGAGTTCTAGAAATTGCCTGTTATTTGAGGCATGTCCCTGTCTTTGCCAGGGTGTCTGGAGTGCTTGCTGGTCAGGTTCAGTACCTTCAGCTTCTCCCTATCTCTTCTCCATATCTCTTTAATATCTCCAGATATTAAGATAAGAAGATCTTAAATTTTAGGGCTCAGTTTCATGACTTCTTTAAGGAATTGTTGGTTTTACTTGTCTAAGACAGGAAAGATACAACACTCACTTCAAAGCATTCTAATAACAGCTGTGTCTGTGTTTTT